ACAAGGCAGCAATTAACAGACACATAGAGATAAACAGCATCTACATACTATTCAAAAGAGAGAGAAGACCAGAAGATCACCTCACGAGCAATCATCACCCAGATAAGCAAAGGTACCAGGCCCACAAGCAAGCAGTAAACATATGCTAATCAAGGAACTACCACAGGAGCAAAACAAAACTCCCACCCCCAGCAGCACTGGCAAGGCATGCCACAGTATATAAATAGAGAGCAAACCCCAACCCATTTTAGCACTGAAACCCCCAGCAGCACTGGCAAGGCATGCCACAGTATATAAATAGAGAGCAAACCCCAACCCATTTTAGCACTGAAACCCCCAGCAGCACTGGCAAGGCATGCCACAGTATATAAATAGAGAGCAAACCCCAACCCATTTTAGCACTGAAAAAAAAAAAGGGAAGACTGAGCAAGCTGTGGTTGGAAGGAGCAAAAGAATCTCAAAAGACGTGAAGCTTTCTACAGAACAAAATGTAATATATAATTTGTTTTTAGATGTACTAGAAACAAAGATGAAAACAAAAAGGCATGAGAAGGTATAATAAATGTTGGTGTAAACTAGATTTAGTTGATTTCCTTTTCTATTACCTCCTGCCTTTAATCTTTTTTGTCTACTATGTCTTAGTCTTTCTTTGTATTTGGCCTAACACTGTTATCCTTAAATAGAATAGCAAGATAGGTATGTATGATCCTGTCATTTATTAGATCATAGCTGGGCGCATACTTAGCAACATCCTTTTAAGTTTCACTGCCATTTTATTCTTTATACAATTTCATGCCCTAAATAGTGTATCTTGCAATTATCTGAGGACTTGGGGAAATACAGTCTGGTCAGCATGGTGATGATACTAGGTAAATCTCTCTAACAGATTGTTAAACAGATAGTATGTGAGCATTTAGAAAAGAATGGACTGCTCAGTAGGAGCCTAAACAGGTTTATGTATGAGTCATGGTTCCAGCAACTATGAAATCTGATATTACTGTTACCAATAATTCATAAAATTTCAGGTAGTCCATACTCTTTGGCAAGCAGATTTAGTATGTGTGTAAAAATTGTCACTTATTAATAAGTAGAAGAAACTGATCAGGTTAATATGTATGTTGACTACATAGTCAAGATAGCAGGTGCTTAGAAAGGGACTTTTTTCACTGTACATGTTGATGTCACACTTTGTTGTTGTGCCTTTGAGTCACTGTTGACTCCTGGCAACTACCTGGACTAGTTACTGCAGTTTTCTTGACAAGATTTCAGAAGTGGTTTGCCACTGCCTACTTCTTAGGGCTGAAAGAGCGCCTGGCCCAAAGTCATCCAACTAGCTTTGGGCCTAAGGCAGGACTAGAACTCACAGTCTCCCAGGTTCCAGCCTGATGCCTTAACCACTACACCAAACAAGCTCTCTTGATGCCACACTATAGAAAATATTATATTTTAGATACGTATATTTCTTTAATTCCTGACTGATCTTACATTCCAATATTTTGGTTTGCTGTCTGAACTCAGAAAACACTTTTCAGCTTGCTCCAACATCTACACACAAGCAGCCAACTATTTTATAGATAAAGCTTCCTTTGTAGAATTATCTTCACTACAAATATTTTTTTAAAACTAAACTATAAATTAAACCTTTTGATTGCTCTATAGGAGACACTGAATATATTTCTTTACCAATTTGTCATTCAAATCAAATCAAATATCTTTATTGTGGTCAGAGACTACTACATAATAAAACTCAATAGTATAAAACAGTTTAGGGTTATATAAAAAGCACAAATCGTAAAATTAACTTGGCAGATCAGTCAACTGCACATTTTGCATAAGGTGTAAGAAAATTTAGGCAGATTTAGAGTAACAGAGTTGTGAATATCTGAAAGTAAAAATGGAAAGTAAAATTGATCAGAATGACTAGAAAATCTGCTTAAATGTGGGCTTATCAACTGGCATTCAAGAGAGGAATAGAATGAGAACAAGAAACAGAGAGACTACAACAGACCTTCTGTGTTACCTATTTGCCTTTCTAGATCTGCTGCTTCATCTGGTGTTGCACGAGGCAGGACTCCAGGATCACTGAAGCTAGTACGTAGCAAGGTCCCCATAACAAAAAAGAATAGAATTGCTCCAACTGCAGGAATTGCAGGTGTAATCTGCTCAGATAAATATGGACAACTGTAAAATAAGGAAAATAAAATATTAAGAGTAATGCCATACAGAAAAATAGTAAGTACCCACAACTGATCTTGTAGGGGATGGGGTGAAGAACCACTTCAAAATTATCTATATTAATACACTCTGAAAAACTGCTCAGATATCACTCTGTCCTCACTTTGGATTGCACCTAAATAAAATCCAGAATATTTCAGACGTATACCATTCTTCCACTTTATTTATGGGGCTCAGTGAATACAGCACTGCATTCAGATTAACATGCAATCTTTTGATTCAGGTATTTGCATTAATGGAATAGTAAGAGAAGTGCAGTAAAGATCAGTTGATTAAGGACTGATAAGAATAAGGAATACAGGTTGTACCTCTCTGCACTTATGTGACTTTTGTTGATGAAAAATAGTAACATTTAAGG